TGCAAGTCAAAGTTTTGATGTGTGCTTTGCAAATATTTTCTTCCAGTCTGTGGCCTGTCTTCATTTGATTTGATTTTAATTTTGAGGAAGTCCAAATTTATGTATTTGTTTAGTTCTAGGGCTGGGGCAGATAAAATACAAGGTGAGCTTAGCATTTTGTGATGCCAGAGTGCTTAAGAAATGTTGAGGTACATAAAAAGGGCACAGGAACTTCCAAAGGCTAAAAGGGCTCACAAAAGCTTTAAAATTTGAGCAACAACATAAATAATGATAGCACTGAATTATAAGCAATAGAATAAAATAAGAATTTAGATTTTTCTCATCTATGAGCATGGATTATCTCTTCATTTATTTAGATGTTTTCTAATTTTTCTGTCATATTTTGTAGTTTTCAGTGTACAGGTCTTATAAATTTTTCATTAAATGTATTCCAAAGTACTTTATGTTTTGCTATTCATAAAGCACTTGCTTTTTTTTTGTCATTTTCATGTGTTTTCTGCTAGTATAGAGATACTCAATTAATTTCTGTATATTAAACGTGTATCATATAACTATGGTATATTCACTTATTAATTGCAGTTTTGCTTTTTTCTTTGTAGAATCCTTAAGATTTTCCACATTGACCAGCACGTTGTTTGCAGTAAAGACCATTGTATTCTTCCTTTTAAATCATGTTTTTCATTTCTTTCTCTTGGTGTATTGCAATAGTTTGAACCTCTAATAGAAAAAGTTGAGGAGAAGTATGAACTCCGTTATTTTTGCCTTGATCCTGACCTTATATGGAAAGCATTCAGTATTTCATCATTAAGCCTATTGGTAGCTCTAGGTTCTTTTTGTAGGTTTCCTTTAATGAATTGACAATGCTCACATATATTTCTAACTTGCTGAGAATTTTAAAAAATGAAATGTATTGAAATTTTCAAATGATTCCCTGCATCTAATGGTCATCAGTTTTTTGTTTGTTTGTTCTTACTCATTTTCTATTTTTTTCTCATAATTACAGGAATCTTATATAGGTACTGAATTTATGTCTACACAAAGAAAGAATATCAGAGAAGGAATAAATAAAGGTAAATTAAAATGCTTTCTTATTCTCAACTGACCTAAAATATAACTATTTATTTACATTAATAATAATACCATTGTATCAGGCAATTAGTGTATATGGAAAAATGAAATAAGTGATACTAATGTTACAAGCAATGCAATGAAGGAATTGAGTATACTCTTTTATAACGTGTCTATACTATCTAGGAAACAGTATAGTGTTATTTTATGGCATGTTTTCAAAATATATATTGTTAACTCCAAGAGAAAGACTACTTTTTTTAAAAAGAGGTATATTTTGCGTGTACTAAATGGTCTATGAAATGAAAGAAGATGGAAAAAGAAGAAGAATAAAGAAAAATTAAATACATATGAAACAGTTACATACATGGTAGATATTAATGTGATTATATTATCACTTTAAGTTTGAATGGTGTAAATACACCAATAAAAGAAAGATTGTCAGAATTAATAAAAAATAATACTCAAGAACATGTTTTCTATAAGAACCTCATTTTTAATTATAAGGACTCACATAAGTTAAATGTAAGGAGGTTGAAAAGGTATTCTAACACTGACAAAAGAAAGCTGGAATTGCTACATTAATTTCATATTTAGAGTGCCTAAAATTTTTAAAAAGCAGACAATACCAATGGCTGGCAAGGATGCTGAGCAACTAGAATCACTCAGTGCTGGTGAATGCAAATAGTACAGTCACCTTGGAAGACAGGTTGTGAGTTTCTTACAAAGCTGAACATAGTATTACTATATGATTCGGAGAACACACCCCCTAGGTATTAACCCAAGTAATTTGAAATTTTATGTCTATACAAAATCTTGCATATAAATTTGTATCATAGCTTATGTAATGACTGTCAGTAACTGGAAGCAAGTAAGTTGTTCTTCAGGAGGTGAATGGATAAACAAACTGTGGCACAACCATTTAATAGAACACTATTAATCAACAAAAAGAAATGAGCTATTAAGTCACATTAGTCTGTTTTCACACCACTGATAAAGACATACCTGATCCTGGAAAGAAAAAAAGGTTTAATTGGACTTTCAGTTCCACATGGCTGGGAAGGCTCAGAATTATGGCAGGAGGTGAAAGGCACTTGGTACATGGCAGTGGCAAGAGGAAAAATGAGGAGGAAGCTGAAGTGGAGACCCCTGATAAACCCATTAGATCTCATGAGACTTATTCACTATCATGAGGGTAGCATGGGAAGGACCACCCCCACAATTCAATTACCTCCCCCTAGGTCCGTCCCACAAAACATGGGAATTCTGGGAGACACAATTCAAGTTGACATTTAGGTGGGGACACAGCCAAATCATATCACAAGCCATACAAAGACATGGATGAATATTAAATGCCCATCCCTAAGTTAAAGAAACCAGTCTGAAAGGGTTAGATAGTATGTGATGATACAATTCATTTGATATTCTGGAAAAGGCAAAACTATAGGGACAGTAAAATGATCAGTTGCTTCCAGGAGTTGAGTGGGTGAGGGGGAAGGGTTGAATAGGGTAAGCACAGGGGATTTATTAGGGTGGTGAAGCTATTCTGTATGATACAGTAACGGTGAATGTAACACTATACATTTGCCAAAACCCTCAGAACAACTGTGACCCCTAATATATGCAAACATAAAAAAAATTTAAGAGGTCTGATGATCCCAGGAAAGAATGGATAGTATGACAAAACAGAATAACTATATTACAAACATATGAAACAACCTCTATAATGAATATCAAGAGAAAAAGTGGTGGCACGAGTAACTCTGGAAGTGAGTAGGACCTGTAAGAATAAAGTTAGAAGGAACACAACGTTCAGAAAAGAAGGACCTTCCAGGATTCTGGCTGTTGCCTATTGTCAGCCCTAGAAGGACCTTGGCAAGAGGCTTGATGTGACATGCTCCCACTTCTGCAGTGGGGTGGGAGTGGGGTTTCAGGAAGGTGAGGCTGTGGTCTGAAATGGATAACTTGGATAATCAAAGGCTAGATTTGGGATAGGAGTAAAATGAATGATAATAATGGTTTGGATGAAAAAGCAGCTGGGAGGGAGAGAATGAATAGGTCTTTCACTCAGATTTCAAGATCTTTGAGCTGCATCCAGATGGAGAAGACTCTCACACAACCAAATTAAATAATAGGCCATCTGGGAGGGAAATTTTATTGACTTTTATTCATAAAGCTTCAATTTTTACTCATTTAGTATTGTAAGTTCTATTGAGCTGCATGTCCTCTGAGATATTTTAGATAACAACAGAAGTGATTCCCAAAGGAGATTATAGTAGGATACGGTCTAAAAATAATATTTTTAAACTGCCATTTATTAAATATTCAATATGTGGCAGACCCTGTGCCAGGTGATTTAATACATTTCTTACATTACAATAGTCCTGCAAGAAAAAAATGATCTAGCAAACAGAGTATTGCTGTCACCTGTTCTTGGCTGTGTGGGGATCTGATCACAGCTGGCCATAAGTGGCAAGCTCACTTATACCACAGGCAGGAATTTGGGGAACCCCCAGAAGATGAGGTGTTGGTGTAAAGGGGAGATGTCTGTTCATCTAAGGGATTGGGGGTCGAGGAAGGGCAGGCCCCGGCAGGGGTAAAGATGAATAACCCACAGGAGGACTTTGGAATCCCCACCCCAGAACCAACAGGGCCAGCCTCTAGCTCTGGTTGAGGAGGAGCCCCATGGGAAGGTGTGCACCTTCTCCCAGAGGTCCTACAATCACGGGTGCTGAAGCACCCCGGGAAGCACCTGGCCTGGGACTCGCAGCCATTCTCTGCTAAAGGTGCAGCTGGGCAAATGGTCCACCGTGAGGGCAGCAGAGCATCTCCCACCCATCCCTTTATCAAAGAGCCAGGAACCAGGGGGAGGAGCCTCCTGAGTGAGGACTGAGGGTCCACCCACCCCACATAGAGGGACCATAGAATACAGCTCAGCCCCTCCTGTCAGCCCTTGAAGACCCTGGCAACATTGGCACCCCAACCACACCCCTCCTCTCACTGCCACCTCAGGGGACTCAGAGTCAGAGACTTGGTCTGAGGAGAGCAGACACCCTAGGCAGAGGATGGAGCTCCAAGTTCTGCAAGGAATCAAGGTCAGAAACCTGAGGGAGGATTGAGGCACCCCCATGACCCCGAGAGCATCTGCACCCCTCGCCACTACTCTCCCCCTCACCCCCACGCGGGCAGAAGCGGGTTCCGCCCCCGCTGTCAATCCAGGGAAGTTCCAGGCCTGCGGGCCGGATGTGACCTCCGCTGGCTTCTGCCTCTGGGATCTGAGAGAAGCGAGTGTGTCTTTCTGTGAGGGGCGTCTTGAGGGCGGCAGAAGGCAGCGGGCCCAGGAGGCAAGGTGAGAGCTGAGGGAGATCTGAGGACACCCCTCCCCGAATAGAGGGCCCCAAATAATCCAGTGCCGACCCTGGAGCCAGCCCTGAACCAACAGAGGACCAAATTATCAGGTTGAGACAATCCCCCACCTCAATGCCCAAGGAGACTCTGAGTCGGGTCTATGGTGTGACTTGGGCAGAGGCAGTTCCATAAAGTGTGGGGCCCCAGGCCTTTCCAGACGTCAACATCAGGAATCTGAGAAATTATGGAGAGGCTCCACCCCATCCCGATAGAGTCCATCTTTGTCTTTGCTGTCAACGCAAGGAAGCTCAGGCTTGGTGCTCCGCCTTGCGCATTAGGGCTCAGAGAGACGTGAGAGCCTGGTTCTGACGGGCGACTTGAGATCCGCTGAGAGCAGCGGGCCCAGGCTCTGTGAGGAGGCAAGATGAGACGCTGAAGGAGGACTGAGGACCCCCCGTCCCCAGAGAGAGGACCCCAAATAATCCAGCACTGCATCTGCTGCCAGCCCGGGATCACCCCGCGGGGGCAGACTTCTCAGGCTGGGTCTTTGCGCACTTCCGCCCCCTTGGACCCCGCCGCTTAAGCCTCAGGGAACTCTGGGGTCAGAGCTTGGTGTGACCAGGGCAGGGCTGGTTAGGAGAGGGCAGGGCCCAGGTTCTGCCAGGCATCAAGGTCAGGATCATGAGGGACGTCTGAGACCCCACAGAGCAAGGCTCCATCTCTGCTGTCAGCCCTGGGAAGTTCCTCGCATGGCCGCCAGGCACACGGATCCTGATTTGTGAATCCTGGACTGACCGAGGGAAGGGGCTTGGTATCACGAGCACGACCTGCGGGGAGCACAGCCAGGGCCCAGTCCCTGCTGGGAGACAAGGGAGGCCTGTAGGAGGCCTGAGGGGACCCAGCAGCCCAGGACGGGGCCCCATCTCAGACTGCGGCGCCTCCCCATTCGGCCTTGGGAATATGACAGAGGGAGACCCAGGTCCACAGAGAGGATCTCGGGTTCAGCCCTGCCAGGATCAAGGGGAGGAAGAAGAAGGAGGATTCAGGAGACCTTGGACTCCAGGTCAGCGGGGACCTTGGCCCTTGGAGGTCCCAGGCACAGTGGCCACATGCGGTGCGTCCTCACTGTGCCTTCGGGGTGTCAGAGAGGAGAGGGTTGTGGTCTGAGGAGGGAACCCTCAGGTCAGCCCAGGGAGGAGTCCCAGAGCCCTGAGGGAGGACTCAGTCGACCAATTATTGCTGAGGTAGAAAACCTGCCCCTGCCATCAGTCCTGGGAGGCCCCAGGCAGGATTCTAGGAAAGAGGGGCACCTCCCCACTTCCTAGTTGGGGTTCTCCAAGAGACAGTGGCCTTGGCCTGCAAAACCCATCCACAATTCAGCAGGAGGGAAAGGGATAGACCTTGTCAGGAGTAAATCTGAATACCTGGAGGACACCCAGAGAGAGGAAGCACCCCTGAAATCTGCTCCATCTGTCAGCCTTTGGAATGCCATGCAGGGGTGTCCATGTAGCACCACTTCACTTTCTGTCTCCCACGTCTCAGAGAGGTGGGGCCCTTGGTCTGAGGCAGGTCCTCAGGTCAGCAGAGGGGTCCACACCAGGTCAGCACAGGGTGGAGCCCAGGATCTGCCATTAGTCAAGGAGAGGAAAATGGGTGAAGACTGAAGGTAAGAAGTTACCCCCTCACATGCCAAAGAAAAAGGGACCTCACAAATCCCTGCTTCCTCTGTTTTCATCCCTGGGAAGCCCCAGGTAGGGGAGGCGTGTGCCATGCTCTCATTTCTGCCACGTGGTTGGGGGTGGCAGGTTTCATGGAAGTGAGCATCTGGTTTCAAGGGGATGATGACAGGTCAGCAGATGGGGAGCCACAACTGATCAGCAGAGGGAGGAGTCTCAGGATCTTTAGGACTCAAGGTGTGCCTCCTTCGTGAGGATTGGAGATACTACCCATCCCATAATGAAGGGACCCCACAGAGTCTCGCTGTCCCCTGTCCTTGGCACTAAGGGGACCTGATCACGGGTGGTCCTAGATGGGAAGCTCACTTATAACACAGGCAGGAAGTTGGGGAACCTTCAGGGAGATGAGATCTTGGTGTAAAGGAATACGTCTGCTCATCTAAGGGGCTTGGAGTCGAGGAAGGACAGGCCCCGGCAGGAGTAAAGATGAAAAACCCACAAGAGGACTTTGGAGGAATCCCCATCCCAGAACCGAAGGGGCCAGCCTCTGCCATCAGCCCTGGACAACCGCACACCGGGTGATGGGATGTGGGGTCCATCATTTCTGTTTTGGAATCTCAGGCAGGTGAGGACTGTGTTCTCAGAGGATGACTTTGAGCCAACAAAAGGAGCCCCATCAAGTCCACAAATAAAGTGGTCACTGGATCTGCCAAGAGTCAGGTGAGAAACCTTGAGGGTTTCCCCTGGCCAGAACACAGAGGAGGGTCACACAGAAGTCTGCTCTGCCCCTGCTGTCTCTCCAGAGATCATGTGCAGGACTATCTGTTGAGGCCCCTCTCTTACACTGGGATCATTGGTCTCAGGGAGGGGAAGGCTTTGGTCTGAGAGGGCTACACTTAGGTCAGCAGTGGGAGGGTCCCAGGTCATACTCAGAATCAAGTGGGGGCCAAGGGGACCCCACATACCAAACACATGGGACCCAGCCCTACCCTGCCCCTTCTGTCAGCCATGGGAAGTCACAGGGAAGTCACAGGGAAACACAGGGTGTTTCCATTTCCCTGGTTTCCTCTTCCAATGTGTCCTGGAGATAGAGCTTTGGTTTCAGGACGTGGCCCAGGTCAACAGAGGGTGGGTCCCAGCCCCAGTGGGCATCAAGATGGGGAACAAGCAGGCTTCTTACCCCAGGACACATGGACCCAGCTGAATATCACCACCTCTTGCTGTCCTTCCTGGGTAGTCCTGGATGTATGTGGCCAGATGTGGATCTCCACATGTCTTCTTTCATATCAGGAAAGTGAGCTATTGATCTGAGAGTGTCTCATGTCAACAGAAGTGTGTGTTTCAGGCCCTGGCAGGAGAAAGGTGAGGGCCCTAAGCTCACAGGAGACCATCCACTCCAAAACAGTGAGAAACGCAGTCTTGCCCACCTTTCTGACAGTGCTGGGGTGCCAGGATGGTTCTTGCAGTTTGCAGCCTGAGGGCTCCATGGTTCCTCTTCTAGAAGCCCCAAAAACTGAGCAGTGAGGCTTTTGTCTGAGAGAGTGTCTTCAGGTCTCAGAGCAGAGGAAACCCAGGCAGTGCCAGCAGTCAAGAGGAGATGATCACCCTCAACATGCAAAGGGCCCAACCTGCCTAAGTACAGAAAGGGACCCCCAACTTGCAGCCTCGCCTGCCCTACCTTCAGTCCTGGAGCATTCTGCTCTGATGTCCAGCTGCATCTTGAGCAGCCTTCTCACGTTCTTTTTCAGATTCTTAGAGAACAGGCCACACAGTAGGACAGGAGCCCCAGAAGGCCCGAGAGGATCACTGGAGGAGAAGGCCTGTAAGTAGGCGTTCGTCAGACTCTCCATGGTTCATATTTCAGCTGAGTCTGCTCTCACGCTCCCTCTCTCCCCAGGCCTGTGGTTCCCTGTCACCCAGATCCTTCCCACAGTGCTGCCTGCTGATCTGACCAGAGTCACCATGCCTCTTGGGCAAAGGAGTCAGCACTGTAAGCCTGAGGAAGGTCTTCAGACCCAAGAAGAAGCCCCCGGCCTGATGGGTGCGTGGGATCTCCCAGTTGAGGAGCAGGAGGCTGCCTCCTTGTCTTCTACTCTGAATGCAGGTACTCTAGAGGAGGTGCCTGCGGCTGAGTCACCGAGTCCTCCCCAGAGTCCTCAGGGAGCTTCCTCCTCCCCCACTGCCATGGACTCCATCTCTTGGATCCTATCTGATGCGGGTTGCAGCAGCCAAGAAGAGGAGGGGCCGAGTACCTCGCCTCACCTGGCAGACCCTGAGCCCTTCCTTCAAGATACACTACATGAGAAGATAATTGATTTGGTTCATTTACTGCTCCACAAGTATCGAGTCAAGAAGCCGATCACGAAGGCAGAAATGCTGGAGAGTGTCATCAAAAATTATGACGAATACTTTCCTGAGATATTTAGGGAAGCCTCTGAATGCACGAAGCTGCTCTTTGGCATTGACCTGAAGGAAGTGGACCGCGCTAGCCACTCCTACTTCCTTGTCACCTCTCTCGGCCTCTCCTATGATGGTATACTGGGTGATGAGCACAGCATGCCCAAGTCTGGCCTCCTGATAATAGTCCTGGGTATAATCTTCATGGAGGGCAACTGTGCCTCTGAAAAAGTTATGTGGGAAGTGCTGAGCATTATGGGGGTGTATGCTGGGAGGGAGCACTTCATATCTGGGGAGCCCAAGAAGCTCCTCACCCAAGATTGGGTGGAGGAAAACTACCTGGTGTACCGGGAGGTGCCCGGCAGTGATCCCACATGCTATGAGTTCCTGTGGGGTCCAAGGGCCCACGCAGAGACCAGCAAGTTGAAAGTTCTTGAGTATATAGCCAATGCCAATGGGAGGGATCCCACTTCTTACCCATCCCTTTATGAAGAGGCTTTGAGAGTGGAGAGAGAGGGAGTCTGAGCAAGAGATGCAACCAGGGCCAGTGGGCAGGGAACTGAGCCAATGCATGCTTCAGGGCCACATCAAGCAGCTTCCCTGCCCTGTGTGAAATCAGGCCCATTCTTCCCTCTGTGTTTGATGAGAGAAGTCAATGTTCTCAGTAGTGGAGGGCACAGTGGATGGAGGAGAATACATTGTATAGTGTCTTTAGGTTTCTCTTCCATCAGGTGACTTGGAGATTTCTTTCTGTTTCCTTTTGTTAATTTTCAAATATTGCTCCTGTAATAAAAGACTTAATTAGTTTCAACATCTAAGTGTATGGATGACACTGATCACACACGTAGGTTTACTTATCCATTTCAAGTGTAAGAGTTTGCCATTTTGTAAAATATTTTGGGAAACCTTCCATCTTGCTGTGATTTGGAATAAGATACCATGACATTGGAACAGGCATTTTCTTGGAGAATGTAAGAACTTAGCAATAAAAATGAACTGGTGTTATGGAACAGAGAAATAAAGGGAAAAAGTCATTAATTCTCACCTTCTTATCTGTATTTATCTGTTGTTCTATGAAATTATATCACACATACATATGCACCAAGCAAATGCAGCTTCCTATTGAATTGCAGATTCTCTGAGATGTCCTAGACAATACAAAATATTCCAGAGGAGAAAGTGGTAGCACCTGGGGTCAAGATAATACTGGAAATAGCTGTCAATCATTAAATATCCAATATATACCAGGCATCATCCCAGGCATTTTAATACATTTCCTACATTACAACAGTCCTACAGATAATGGTCCATCAAACCCGTTTTCCGGATGAAGAACCTGAGTCTCATGGAGCTTGGTAACCTGCCCAAGATCATATGGCTGATAAATCACAAGTTTGGTCTGAGTTCATCGAGAGCCCATGCTATTCTCACTCTTCACAGCCTGAAGTACACCTCTTTCCCTTAATTTATTTGTCTTCTCAGCACTGCATAATGTCTCTCAAGTGACCAAAAGAAGGACCCTGTGGCCATGGTACTCAAGGCAGGCCTACAAAAGGAAGGAGACAATGAGAATGAAACACAATCTGGGAATAGTCTGTGGGCTTTATCAACCTAGGGTCCTCCTGGCTGAGCCCTGGGGTTCCTGAGAGCTGACTACACAGATGCAGGAATTTCTGACCAGCCCTAACACTTTCCTGCATTATAGAGGCCTTCCCCTCGTCTCCCCTATGTGATCTCCCTTTCAATTGGAATGTGGCTGCTGCCTGCTCCTCCCTGCTGCTTGTTGTGGAGGCTGAGCAGAATCACCTGCCCTTTAATGTTCACATCCAATCACCCCGTCTGTGTGTCTAAATACACTCTCAAACTTTTCTAAATAGATGGTGAGTGGAATGTGATTTAGCACATGATCTACTGTTCTTGAGATATAAACTTAGAGACTTTTTGAAACCACCCTGATATTTGCAATGGGAATTTAATGGGGTGTTTTATTTGAAACTGGTCACTGAACACATGCAAAGATGAATGAACTTACCTTGGTGGTCAATAACCAAAGTCTCCCACACAAGCTGGAGATGAAGAAAGATCATGGAGATCATTGTGGAGAAAACTACTGAGGCTGAACTCCTAAAACCCGAGTCTCCCAGGAGGTGAAAAATGCTTCCTTGGTGGGCATACTAATTTGAGTTTAAAAAGTTAAACAAGCTTTTACTTTATCTTATCCAGTATTTGCCCCACGGGAAAATATGGGCTTTCGGTGTGCCTAGAGACACTCAACAGGTGTTGAGGTGTGTGGAGGGTAGCAGACACTCACAAGTTAATATTTTGACCAGGAATCAAATGGAGGAAAAAATCTACACCTACTAAGATTACAGAGGTTATTTCAAAGGGCAGTGCTATTGAGTGAAGAAAAGGGAACTTTCCTGCTGAGATTTACAATACTGTTTGAAAATTAAGTGTCATCCTGCATTTGAGAGCACCTGTCACAAAGTAGGCACTTGAAAAAGGTGGACAATTTCCAGGCAAATTAGTCTTTGTTCAGAAACTCCTCCAACAAATGAGGAAGAGGACTGTTGTCCTAATACATTATATTCACTTTTAGTTGAACATCTACTATGTAACGGGTTATGGGAGAGGCTCCAACTCCTCATCCACATCTTGTCCTTTTCTCCCTCTTGAAAAAAAGGGAGGCAATACCTTGCCAGACCCCTATTCATTAAGAAGGACCATGTGACATCACTTTCCCACTTAAACATGAGCAGAAATATTATTCAGCCATTTCTATAGAAAATGCTTCAGGAGCTATGGATTGCTTCTCAAGTCATGACTATACAGAACACTGACCACTCCATTTCTACACTCAGGGACTTAAGTGATACACCTTTGCTCCCTTAGGTTTTAAAAACCATATTTTGTGCCTTTGTGCCCTGAGAAGGAGTGGTTATCTTCAAAAGAGGTGCTCAACCTCAGGATACCAACTACAGGAATTCCTTCTTGCTATCTGCAGCCTTCATGCCCTTGAGGCACACCCATCAATCTGCTGAGAGCTGTGACATTAATCCCCCATCAACCTTGTTGTTTAGCACCTAACCAACACTCCCCTGTACCTGGCCTGAGTCAGGCCAGCTTGGGGTTTTATCCTTGCTGTCTCTACTCAGACAACAGCTCAGCCTAAGTTAGGAACTGCTGAGGATTTTAACCGCAGATATCTCCGTTTTAAATTTGCCAGTAAGAAATTTCCTTCCAAGATGGTCATGATTTGGGTAGAAATGGGAGGAGATGATGAAGCCTTTTGGCGAGTCTCTTAATGGTTGGTAAATAATCATCATTTCAATGTGATGAGTGGCAAATCACTATGATTAAGAGGTATTATTCAAATAATCCCCCATGTAATGCCTGGCTTTTAATTAACTAATCATCCTAACTGGGTGGCTATGAGGTTTTGCTTTCTGAAGTTGATCCAGAGAGGAGAGGCTAGGTTGTCCTACCAGAGACAGCTAGGGCCGTGGTATCCCCGAGACAGGCAGTTAAGACTGCAGGCTGTCACAGATGATGGGGACAGTGAGAATCAGGACACTCTGCAGTCCACAGAGTACCCCCAGAGCCACATTAGGATTTGGAAAGGAGCTGGGTGGGAGAGGGCTTTGGGGCCCTGAGGGATTAGGCTGTGCTGAGGATCAGCCAGGCCAGAAGAGGCGTGAGGAGGAGCATGTGCCAGATCCAGCTCTACTGCCCTGGGCCAGCTGTGGGGAGAGGGACATGGGAGCAGGACGAGTCTGGACCATGTCTCGAGCCAGGTGCTCCTGGGAATGGCCAGGGACAGACCTTTGTGTGGCACTTGCTGGAAACAGGGACACCGCATGTCCCTTCTTGGAGAGAGCCAATGTGTGTGGAGAGTGCTCACCCTGCTTTTCCTAAGGACTGAAGGGCTGCAGGAGCTAGGACGTTCCACACACCCCCACAGCCTCTCCTGGAGGCCTGCCCTGGATACAGTGTCCTCCACAGCAGCCTCCCCTGTGGGCACACATCACACAGGACAGAGCCAATCTTGACCATGGCAGGGGAGAGCAGATGGGAGTGTTTCCAGATGCCCGGAGCCTGCCCGCTGAGGGGCTAGTGAGAGGCCTCCCAGTCATGGTTTCACTTCCCTTAGAAACCTCCCTGTTCCATCAGCCATGCCTAAACCCCTGCTTTGAACTCCAGCCTCCATGGCAAGGGGCTGACCTCCTGCCTTACTCTTGCCAGCCCTTCTCTGTGGCAATCAACCCTGCTAAGTGTTCTGTAGCCCTTCTTGAGCAAGTATGGGGTCCCAGAACATCCAGCCTTATTAGGAGGCTCCTGCCACAGTCCAGGTGAGAGGAATTGTGAAGCCAAATTAGGGCAGTGGTTGAGAGGCTAGAGATGAGGGATGGATTTCAGAGGTATTGGGCAGGGGGAAGAGGCTGGGCTTGTGGGCGAGTCCAGCTTAGAGGCCACGGGGGAGGAGATCATTCTTTAATGAGTTTTATTTCATTTTTACCTAGTGTCCTTTGGGTCCACCTTGATCCCATCCAGGATGTCACATTATATTTAGTCAGAAGGTCCCCTTAGATTCCTCTTATCTGTGATAGTTTCCTTGTTTTGGATGACATTGACAGTTTTAAGGAGTATTGGTCAGGTATTTTGTAGAATGACCCTCAGCTGTGGTTTGTCTGGTACTTTTCTCATGCTTAAGCTGGGGTTATGGGTTCTGGGGAAGAGGACAATAGTGGAGAAATGCCATTCTCATCACTTCATATCAAGGCTACATACTATTAGCATGACTTATTACTAATGACGTTTACCTTGAACACCTGGCTGTGGTAGTGTTCGCCAAGTATGGTTACTGTAAAGTTTCTCTTTTATTCTCCTATTTCATAGTGTCCTCTTCGGAAGAAAGTTACTGTGTGACCTACACTATGAGCAGTGGGGAATCACACCCTGCTTTCTTGTGAGAGTGGGAGTATCTGCATAAATTGTTTGGAATTGTTTTCCATGAGAAATTTGTCAATTCACCCTTATTTTTGCATTTAAATAATCATTTATTTATCTCAGTGTGGACTTATGGATACTAATTCTATACTTTGTTTAAAATCCAATACAGCTTTATATGTTTTGCTGCTGAAATGGCTCCAGGTTTGGCCATAGGGCACTCTTTCTCCTAGTTCTCTTTGTACATGTCTTTCCTATACATTTGTCAATGTATTTAAAAAATTTTTTTAGCATTTCATTACAGTCAACCACAATAAGATGTTCCAGGATTAGCCTGCGTGTTTCCCGATCCACTTCTACCATCAGCAATTTTTCCACTGAGCTCATTTTTTTTTTTTTTTGAGAATGGTATTAGAAATCTAGATCTGTGCATTAGGTATGCTCATTCCTACTGTGGCCTCTGCTGACAGAGAAAGGAATTATATGTGTGCATAGTAACCTGTTTTTGTTAATAATCTATAAATATTTCTAGATGGAATGATCTGCATAAATGTCAAGTCAACAGTGAGTCCTTCCTA